ACTTAAATAAAATTTATTAAAGAGACAATCGTTGTTTAAGTCATCTTTGTTAAAGTTGTCGCTTATAAAATATAAATAATTAAAAAATAAAAAAGATTAATAATAAAAAAATTTTATGCTATTTTATTTAATAAATACATAATCTTATATATATATAAATAATATAAATAAAAATTTATACAACTTTTAATTAAAACGTTAACACTAACTGTTACTTTATTTAAAAGCATTTCGCTAATACAAAAACGTTAGTAAAGATAAAAGTTTCTGAGTTATTTATTTTAATTTTAATAATATATATATATTATTAAAATTAAATATATATATATATATATATATATATATATATATATATATATATATATATATACATATATATATATATATATATATATATATATATATATATATATATATATATATATATATATATATATATATATTCAAATTTATTTATTTAGTCCCAAGATAATAAAGAATAGTTTTCAAATGAATATGTCAGATTTCAAAAAAAACTTGTATTATAAGGTTCTCACTACTTTTCAACTATAATATATGATAAACTTTATTCTATTCTATAATGTAAAAGCTCTTATCTATAAAGTTTTCCCTCAATTTTATATTTTTCAATTTGTTATTTACTACTTAGTAATCAAAAAAATAATTAAAACCGTAAAAGCGATTAGGCTAAACTATGGAACCCTGTTTCTAATAACCACCTTGCAATAACAAACAAAGAACCTGAAAATAATGAATATAATCACAATCATAATGGTGATCATAATAATTACAATGATAATGTAAATATATAAAAAAAAAAACTAAACTATCAGGAAATAATTTATATAGGTTTTTATGCATGAAAGATGATGTGATAAATTAAAGAAAAAATTACATCAGAAATGTGAATTAATTAATTTTTTGTGGAGCCCTAAAATTAAAACTAGAAATTTGAACAATAGCCTGAAAGTTTTCTTTATCATTATTAGAATCAAAATTCAAAAAACCTCCTTAGATTAAAACATCTTTTATCATATTTTATATTTAAAAAAATAATCATGTAAAGCAGTAATATGAAATCATTGAATGAAATTTGATAAAAAATAATTATTTTGTTAGTTTGTTATTTTATATTTCAATTCTATATTTTAACTATAATAAATAAGCTATATAACAATACTTTTAGGCAATTTTCTGTTATTTTGGCAAATAAAATTTGATTTTTGATGTAAAACATTACTTTTGATTCTGTTAGTAAAAAGCTTTTTGGATGGCTTCTTCCTTAATAAGAGTAGAAGGTGAGCACTAACTGTTAAATTAGCTGCAAAATAATTTCTCTACAAATATTTATATAGCCCATTATAAGTTCAGTTTAATTGCATAGTACAACTATTTCTTGAAATATACAAATATATATAAAATATACCCTACCCATGGGGTACCACACGATGAGCATCATTAAAAAGTAAATAAAAAGTATAAAATGTTGGGAAAAGGCTGATTTTCACTTGAAAGATAAATAAAATAATAATCATAACCCAAATAATGCATTTAATGGTCCAAATCACATTTCAGAAGACCAGATAATAAATCGTTTTAAATGTCATTCTTAAGCGTAAATAATGGCTTTGAATCCAAATTGGATTAAAAGAAATTATTTTTAGATTTATGAAAAACGGAGTATTATTTTACAGTTTTAGGTCCCCTACAAATGCTGTATGAAGTTACCTTATCATTGCTAATAGAAAACAATTGAATGATTTTGTTTAATGAAGTAAAGAACTTATGGAATGTAGTTTACAAAATAATGTTACTTACCGATAGACACATTAAATAAGATAACTTGAATTTTATCAACTTTAAAAACTAATAAATTACTTTGTCATAAAAAAAACACAAATTTTGATCCCGTGCAGGGCTAATGATGTAAAATGATATAATTTTTTTTTTAAAACATAGCTCTAGTAGTAATTGTTTCACAATATAATAGTGTTTGTCACAACTCTTAAGATGCCTCACAATAAAAATGTTTCATAATGCCCCATGTATCATAGTGCCCCACTTTTCCCTATTTAAAATCATAGCCAACTTTAACTTATTGTTAAAGTATAGCTAAAACAATTAAATAGATGCTAAAAAAAGAAAAAAAAATGATATATATAAAATAATACCTAAAAAGTTTCATATAAAAATTACCAAAAACTTTATTATAAAATAAGGAACTTAATAATGCTCATTTGTGCATGATTGACATAAAATACATGGCAGCCATTAAAGCTGAGTTATTAGCAAGAAATGCTTTTTTTGTAGGAAAATAAGAAAGAAAATGTAACTATATCTAACTTATGTAAATTTAAATTTAAATGTTAAAGTTTATTTTAAGTTTCACTTTTAACTTGAAAATCACATTGAAAATATGTTCTTAATTTTTGATTTATAGCATTTATTTGTCTAATTCATTAAGTTTGCCATATTTTTTTGCAAAAAACTATATTTGCCATTAAAAAAAATTTCCTCAATGTCTAATTTTGTGTGGCATCCAAATGTCTCCAAATATGTTCAATGCTGTCAAAAAGGGACTAGAATAGCCCCTGAGTGTAAAAAGAGATTGGTATTATATCTTGGTAGCTTACTTGGTTAGCTTGCTATGTTAATTTTGATAAGGTTGGTACGTTGTAGGGGTTCAAATCATCCATTTGCTCATAACCTTTTTTAAAATTTAAATCTTTTTAATTTTTTTTGAATTGAAAAATTAAAAGATAAAGCAAAATAAAACAATTCTTCAATTCTATAATTATTCTATAATTTGGTTGGTGGTTCTATAATTATTTTAAGTCTCTTAATTAATGAGAACAGATTTTTAAAAAAACTTTTAAAAATCTGTCTTTAAATTTTAAAAACATAGCAAGAAATTTGTCACACATTTGTCATTTATTTTAGAGATATTATGTTATTAATGTGTTTATGTAATTAGTTAAGTCTGCATGTTTAATACACATTAAAGAGACAATTTTCTTTCTAAAAGATTTTAAACTGAAAAAACTTTAAAATTTTATTTTCTTGGAAATTAACAAACAGACTGAGGGTCTAAAAGATTCCATATTGTCAAAAAAAAACTTAATAAAAATTTAATAAAGAAAAAAATTAATATTATTCATTTTTTTTTTTTAACTAAACTTGGAACTCGGTGCAGTTAAGGTAATTTTAAAATATTATAGAATCTGTATATGATATTTTGTTAACTACAACATATTTCCGTTAAATGATCAGGTATGTGAATTATAAAAAGACAAAAAAAATTTTATATTAAAAAAAACCACACCAAAGATTTTTATTAAAAAAAAAAAATTATTTAAAATCTTATTAAAATTGTCTAAATTTTGATAAGATTGTAAATAAATACCCTTTTTAGGTGAAATGAACATTATAGTTTAACAATATGATCTGTTCTGATTGTTTATTGGCAATTTTTTCTTAATTATTCACTCTTTCTTGGTCAGAATTCAGTATTTTTTGTGAAAATTGATAGAAATATTGTGTTTTGACAACTATATATAGTTAATATACGTCAGAACTGATTAGAACTAAGACCAATAGTAAATTAATGAACTTTTTCAAAAAACTAAATTTATGTTAACAGGAATGAGCGGAATTGATCTAAAACCTCCAAAATGGTGTTCTTTAGATTCACTATTACAGGTAGTAAAAAGTTTTGAAAATGATATATAAAAAAGAAAAATTTCTTTATATATATATTAAAAAAAACCTAAAGCAAAAAAAATTATACCATCTAAAGCTCTTGTTAATTCTAAATAAATTAAGCTTTAGATAAAGATTTAAATAGATTAAGTCAAGTTCCCTTAAACTTAAATCATGATCAAAGTATGCAAAAATGTTAAACATAGTTTGACAGTTTCAATACATTTTTCTCAAATATTCATAATCTTGGAAGTAAGTATCCATCAGTTGAATCTTAACTCTTGCAAAATTTTCAAGACTTACTTGCTCTGTGTAGGACTAATTTGAATTTAGCTGTTTCTTTTTCGGATATCAGTGTTCCAATAGTCACATGCTTGACCTTAACATATATTTATGACTCCAATAGTCAAATGCTTGGCTTGGTCATATACTTATGCATCAGTGTCAAAAAATCAGGTTTGAATTCTCTAACCATATTATTGTTACAGTTGAATTTAATGCTTATCATGTCCTTCTTCTATTATTGATGAATGATAGCCTTCTCAATGAATCCTCTATTTTGTATCTTCTTGGATATATCTTTCAATTCCTATATTAAAAAATGGCAACCTTTTCACTGAGTTCTCTCTCTTTCACTGAGTACATCTTCTTGGATTGGATTCACTACTGACATCTCAATAACAATAACAATTCAAATTCAAAAGATACGCATTAAATTAGCTTATTTACTATTATTTTAATTTTCATTTTGATTTAAATATTAGTAATTCTGGTCAATATAACTATTACTAAAGAATAATATTTTACGCAGTGTTTTAAGGCGCTTTTTAAATAAAAGAGATAATTATGAGTAATTTTATGACTAAAAGAATATATTGTACATATATTTTTTTAATCATTAAATATAATTTAAAAAATAATATACAAAAATAAGTTACATTTACTGAGAATTTTTTTACAAATTAAAAATATTGAAGTTTAAAAATAAAATAATAAAACTTTTATTATGTTATTTTTATTTTTTATTAACATAATAAAACTTTTATTATGCTATTGGAATCAGTATTTTTATTATTATTAAAGTTACATTATTAACAATACAACCATTATTAGTTCTTTTTGTGCATAATTTTCTGTTTGCCATAAAATATAAATAAAGATAAATTTTTTTGATACACTATTGCATAGTTTATATATACAAATGCAAACCTAATTTTATAAATTTTATATCTATTTGTAAACTTTAACATAATTGTTAAAATAAACTAAAATAAATAACATTAAAAAAGAAACGGATATACCTTAAGAGAGCTTTCCATTTCAGTATTTAAAAAAATGAGAATATATAAAACCTAGAAATTATTAAAAAATATAAACGTAACTATATAAACATTAATAATTGTGTAAATAATATGTTATAAAAATTTGAAATGCAGATACATTAATTAGGATCTACAGTAGAGGATCTACAGTGTGGATAAAAAATATTAGAACTATCTACAAATTTGACTGACTTTTTAGTTTAAAGCATTTATGTTTAATTTTTTAAAATGATACAAATATAAATTTTAATGCTATACTACTAGTCACATGAAAAAAAACTCTAACGAAATTTGAGATTTTAACTATTGAAAAAAAATTTTTAGGCAAGTATGTATATTTTTTAAAAGTGTTATAATCATGCAATGATTATAACACTTTTTAAAAATACACATACAGTATAATTTGGTGGCTATTTATACATATTTTATTTTAACTAGTAAAGTTTTAATGATTGCGGGAAGTATGTGCATAACAAGCAGCATAATATGATTATTCCATATTATTTTGATTAGTTTATTGCACAAAAAAACAAAAATGATTAGTTTTAAAGCAAATTAGAGCAAAATAGTATTAAGATTTCTAACAGTTGGCTAAATTGGTGTCTGATTTAATCAGGTTTTGCTTTTTTGTGACTGAGCAAGTAACCACTGCTGAATAATCACAAAGCCAAATTTCTCTAGTAGGAAAAGGACCACCAACATTTGCTATGGCCTAACACAAACTAATGTTTGGAGCAAACCAAGTTGAAGCACATTTTTTTATTGTACACATTGTTGTTGCCCTTTTCTCAATTTTTCTTACATGCAACCAGGTCTTGAAAAAATCGAGTGACTAATTCAAATTATTTCTACATTTGCTATCCAGAACATATGCCATATAGCCTAGTTAATTAATAATCGATAAAAATTTCAAATCTTCTATGGCAAAGAAGTTCATCAGATACGAGTCCAATTCAAAATATAAAAATAGTCAACATTCAGAGAGCTTCACAGCATAAACAAACTTGCAAAAACTCATTGATCTTGCTTTAATTAATGTATGAAAAAAATTATGTTTTTAGAAATGTTGATCGGAAATGTACCTAAAATTTAAAAATGACACCTTAAAACATGTTGAAAGGTTTTTTAAACTAAAATGTGCATCAATCATATGTTTGATTTGAACAATATAAAGAATTTACCAAATATTGTACACTAAACCATTGTTTTATGCTTTTCAAATTGTTGTTTCTAATATTTTTCATACCACTGTAGATAAATAGACACTCTATCTAAATCATTATCTCTATTACTAATAGAGATATAGAACCTCTATGCAATACAATCATCAAGATAAAATATATCTGTACAGGTGAAGGACATATTGTTTGAAAAAAAAAACAAATTAAAATAAAAGAACTATCTTCCTTGCGAATAAAATTACAGTAAATTACGGCAATTGGTCATCATTTCTCAGAAAATTAATTACATGCTATAAAAGTACTCCTCTATAATTTTTACAAATTAGCATATCGAACTGCCTACCGGTTTTTTTTTAAACTTCAAACGCGAGAGAAAGAGAAATTCCACTTAGTCGAAAACAGTTAGTAAAATACGTGTTTTAAACGTTTAAAAAACGTATTCAACTGTTATAATATGTTAATAATTTTTTAGATGTCTATAACACGCCTCGTGTTCACTGGAAACAAGATAATAAAAAATCACATTTTTATTATTGATTTTTTTTAATAAAATTACTAATATTCAAATAGTAACTTTAACTTGAATCGTCTTCTTCCTCATTTTGATTTCTGATGTCCACCATGATTTACATAAATACAGAGCTTTTTTGTTGGCACATGTCAGAAATTGACCTTTTAGGTTTGATTTTGGAACACCCAAATATTTTTATAGATTCTATTTAAGAAACCTTTAGGCTACACAAAACTGTAAAAATTAAAATCCTGCAGGTAGCACATTTTTAGAAAAGACAATTAAAGGGGGCGGGCCTGTGAAATTATCATGTTCAAGTGAAGAAACTTGCAAAAATTCTGCAAACCTTAAATTTTTACATACTAATACTAATATCAAATAATGATGTTCTGCCAATAAAAAGAAAGAAAAAATTTTTTTGGGAACATAGAAAATACAACGATTTTAGGGCACCGACCCCAATAATAGTAAATAAAAAAATTTGAAAATTTTTTTTGTACAATCTTATAGTAAATGAAATTTTATTCAAAGAATTTTTAAAAAAATATATATTACAGTTCAAACGTTATTTTTTTTTTTTTTTTCAGTTTACAATTATTAATCGTAATATAACAATATAACAATATAACAATATATAAACTTGGTATCTGAAAGAAGATCCGAATGATCTTGTCGCCAGAACCATATAAAATATATCATACGTGTATATATAATAAAATAAAAATACAATTTTTATTTTATTATATATACACGTATGATATATTTTATATGGAAATGAATGGGAGTGAATTTTAATTGGGAGTGAATGCAAATAAAATATTATATATTTTATTTGCATTCACTCCCAACAAGGCTGCAAGCAACCACTATTAAGTTGGGAGTTACTAGGAAAAAAAAAAAAAGAACAGAGTTATAGAGCAAGGAAACGGTTGACAGAAGACTTGAAAAGTTGAAGGTTGTAGGAGTCAGGAAAACATGAAGATGGGAGAGAGTTCCAAAGGATTGAAGTGCGGGGAAAAAAACTAGATGAATAAAAGTTTTTAGAGCATGCTGGGACAGATACAGTAAACGAATGAGACTTAGCTGAATGACGAGTAAAACGAGAATGAATTTTAGTTGATGGAACTAGAGACGATAACTCCTTTGAGCAGTGACCATGATAGTATCTGTAGAAAAGAGAAAGAGATGCAACTTTACGACGATGGGAAAGAGGTTCAAGCTTAGCAGATAGTCCAGGTCCAACAACATTTACAATGCGTTTTTGGACCTTGTCAAGAAGAGAAAGTGAATCGTTAGAAGAACCAGCCCAAATATGACAACAGTATTCCATACAGGGACGAATAAGAGATTTGTAGAGGTAGAGAATGGAATCAGAAGTAAGGAAATGGCGAGCACGATAAAGAGAAGCAACCTTAGCAGAAGCTAATTTAGCAATCGATTGTATATATGGTTTCCATGAAAGGTCAGTAGTAAGCGATAATCCAAGAAGACGTAAAGAGGACGACTCAGTAAGAGGATTGCCATTCATTAATATAGGAATGTTGACCATACTACGGTAGTTGTTTGCAGTAAGCAATTGGGTTTTTTTAGAGTTGAAATTCACAAGCCACTGTGAACCCCAATCTATTACTGAAGTGAGATCAGATTCAAGATCAGCTGCTTGTTCTAGGCGATCGAAAAGAGAAGACTTTTTGTCAAGACAGGAGTATAAAGTTGAGTCATCAGCAAAAAGAGCTACTTTAGATGAAAGGTTGTCAGGAAGATCGTTTATGTAGATAAGAAACAAAACAGGGCCCAGGATGGAACCTTGGGGAACCCCAGAAGTTACTGGAAATAAAGAAGAGTTTTGGCCTTCAAGGATGACTTTAATAAACCGGTTAGAAAGAAATGATTTGATAATCTCAAAAACTTTCCCAAAAACACCATATGAAGCAAGCTTATGGAAAAGACCAGCATGCCAAACTTTGTCGAAAGCTTTAGATATGTCGAGAGCAATAGCCCTAGCCTCACCGCCTTCATCTAATGCACGATAAAATCTTTCAGTTACAGCAGTTAGCAAGTCGGCCGTAGAGCTAGAGGATCGAAAACCGTATTGATTGTCTGACAGCAGTTTATTTGACTCAAGATGAGATGTGAGGAATTTGTTGATCAAAGACTCAAAGACCTTGCTAATAACAGAAAGAAGACTGATCGGACGATAATTGGAGGGGTCAGAATTTTCTCCAGAGTTTTTGAATATTGGAACCACAGATGCCATTTTCCAACAAGCAGGAAAACAAGACTCAGTCAAACACTTGTTAAATAGTTTAGAGAGAATTGAAGAAAGTTCTGGAGAACAATTCTGCAAGACTGTGACAGGAATGTTGTCTGGACCACAAGCTGTAGACAAGTTTAATTGAGATATGACTTTAGCAACAGAAGCCGGAGTGATTTGAATGTCTAACAATCGGTCAATCTGTTTCACTGGAATGGAAGGAAGAGAATGTCCATAAGATTCAAGAGTGGAATTAGAAGAAAAGTTCTTTGCAAACAGTTCTGCCTTATCTCTGGGAGAGGTAATAAGATCAGTTCAATGAATGAGAGATGGAATGTTAGATCTACCTTTGTTAACAATGCTGTTGAAGATTTTCCAAAAGTCTTTAGAGCCTAACTTCTGCGATAAGATGCGAGATTTAGTGAACTGAGAATAATGGAGTTTAGCATCAGAAAGCACCTTTTTACATCGATTTCTTGCAATAATAAATAGCCGTTTGTTCGCAAGAGAGTTGTTCTTTTGAAAAAGATGAAAAAAATGATTACAATTGGATATAGCAGCCGCACAAGAAGGAGAAAACCATGGAGTAGAATGAGGCTTGACTTGAAACCGACGCGAAGCAATAAAAGCTTCCATTCCAGCCTGAACCCAGGAGGTTACGTAGGAGGCGCATTTGTCAGCTGAGATAGAAAAAACATCAGCTCAAGGACCATCACGAAGAAAATCACGAAAGGAATCCCAGCCAGCTTTAGGGTAGTAGTAGGTGGTGCGATGATAAGGTGAGCCCAAAAAAGAAGTACGAGAAGAAAGGTTTATAGAGATCATTGCATGATCAGAACCACCTAAGGGAGAAAAGGGAGAAACTGAACATAAGCTAGGGTCAGAGACAAGACATAAGCCAAGGAGTGAAGGTAAATGATTAGGGTTGTCAGGAAAACGAGTCACAAAGTTAACTATCTGAGTAAGAGATTGAGAAACGCAGAATTTAAAGGCTTTAGTGCCAGCAGGATCAGTGGTGTTAGAGCCAAACCATTCAGTGTGATGGGCATTAAAATCACCAACAACAACAATATTGGCAGAGGGGTAAAGAGAGAGGGCAAGGTCAATTTGATCAGAGATAACATCTAAAAGAGTACAATCATGGGAATAAGGAGAACGATAAAGAACAAAGAGAAAGGTGATAGAGTAAAGAGGTGCTAGGCGAAAACACATAAAAGAATGGTCAAAGGATTCGAACCTGATTTCACGACAAATAGGGGAATTAATGCGTATGTATACCCCTAAACCTAGCATGTGACTATTGGAGTCTTTACGAATCAAAGGATAGTACCCATCAACACTGACATCTGAAGAAGAAATTGCAGAATTTAAAACTTGTTTCACTGAGTGCAAGCAAGTCTGGTGAATTTTGCAGGAGGTAAGACTCAACTGATGGAAAGTTGCTTCGTAGACCGCGAATATTTGTAAAAGATATATTAAAATATTTAGGTGGTGGGGATGGTTTTTTAGGTTTTAAATTTTTGCTTACTTTGGTCATGATTTGGGTTTAATGAGAACTTGACTCATTTTTTAGATAGAGCACAGCCTCCTAATCAATGAGCTATGCAGTTGTCTCAGTCCTGTTAATTAACCTAAAGCCGTGACATAGGGCTCCTTATGTGGCCTTGACAATGCACACCAAAAGCATTAACAGGGACACCATCCATGCGCAACATGGCACTGTTAATACTCTGATATTTTGCAGCTGTTGATGGAATCAGCCTCTCTGAGAGCTACCACAGAGTTCGGGAAACCTTACTACCAGCCGGCCTCAGAACCATTAAACTGAGTTTTAGAGCTGTACCCTCATATGGAGATAACAGGAAGAGTTGCATAGCCATTATCAAGGAGGCATAAGCAAAATTATATGAGTAGAGTCAAGGAGATCCAGCATTCATCATCCTAGGCAGGAAACAATGTAACACAGGTTACATCTACGCCAGCCTAATAGATGAAGAAGGGGTTCGAGGCTGGTTAGCAGAATTTTTCTGCTTACCCCTAAAGTCTTTGCCTAAGAGGCCTTCTACAAGACAGTAGCAGGATGCAGTTAACATCTGCCCAAGATGAGTATTTTTATCGAGACACCATCTCTAGCCTTTACTCAACCAAGAGTCCCAAGGCAGGGGATGTTTAGCTGGATACAGTTAACATCTGCCCAAGATGAGTGTTTTTATCGAGACACCATCTCTAGCCTTTACTCAACCAAGAGCCCCAAGGCAGGGGAATTTTTAGTCGGAGTTTATTTCTCCTAGCCTTTGCATAAGAAGAGCACACTCTGCAAGGCAGCAGGGCTTGTGGCAGGTGGTACTGGGTTACGTGATACCAGTAGCAAGATTAAAAGGAGTTACTTCCCACAACAGTACTTTGAGAAAACCAGGCATGACATTTTGGAAGTGCATTAGGAAAAACACTGCATCTAACAAAATACAGGAGTCTAAGGTGAGTGTACGTTTTGTAGTTAGAGTAAGTAGTTAGTTACTGAGTTCACGCTGCATTAGAGTATAAACAGAACACAAACAAACATAAATCAACTTACGGGTGAGTCAACACCGCGCCAGAGGTTCAGACAGAACACAAACATACATAAAAAACATAAAGTAACTTACGGGTGAGCGAACACCGCGCCAGAGGTTCAGACAGAACACAAACATACATAAAAAAACATAAAAAACATAAACATAAAGTAACTTACGGGTGAGCAAACACCGCGCCAGAGGTTCAGACAGAACACAGACATACATAAAGAACATAAAGTAACTTACGGGTGAGCGAACACCGCGCCAGAGGTTCAGACAGAACACAGACATACATAAAGAACATAAAGTAACTTACGGGTGAGCGAACACCGCGCCAGAGGTTCAGGCAGAACACAAACATACATATAACGTAGATTACAGGTGAGCTAATACAGTAACTAAGGCACCTCCAACTATATGGGGAAAAAAAAAAAAAAAAAATTACTATAGGCATGACTGATATAAGATAGTACTGATGACAGGAAGAACTTCCTTCCAGCCTTTGCTTAGATAGCAAATCCTGCAAGGCAGCAGAACATGGAACAGGTTGCACTGGGTTACATGTTACCAGTAGCAGGATGATCATGAAGACCATACTCCTGACCTGACCTTAAAACTTATATATATAACTATATATATATATATATATATATATATATATATATATATATATATATATATATATATATATATATATATATATATATATATACATATATATACATACATATATATATATATACATATATATATATATATACATATATATATATATATATATATATATATATATATATATATATATATATATATACATATATATATACATATATATATATATATATATATATATATATATATATATATATATATATATATATATATATGTATATATATATATATATATATATATATATATGTATATATATATATATATATATATATATATATATATATATATATATATATTTAGTTTTTTGCAGAAAATGACAATTGATCAAATAACTATTAACAATGTAGAAGAAACAAAAACTGAAAATAATTTTACAAATTATCAAGAGTGAAAAAAAAAGAATTTTACATTTCAAAAATATTAATATACATTGCCAGTAGAAAGAATATAGTTTTTTAATTTAGTTTTAAAAACGGAAAACGAAATTGAAAAATCAAAATTTGGAACAAGAATTTAGTTCCATAAATACGGTGCTCTATAGTTTATTTATATATTAAAATTGATTAAACTTTGTTTAACAAAGCAATAAATTAAAAGAAATATGAGTTAACCTTTTTGTTAAGTCATTCAAAAACACTAAAAGCAAAAAGCACATCCAAAAGCACTGTTTAAAGCATTTAAAATGTGCACTGCATGTTTCGTGCTCTTTAAGTTTTTTTGATAAGCCTTAGTCGGAATGGTGAAGAACTTATCCCAAAATTTTGCAACAAAAACAAAACACTTTATTGCTATTCAAAGAATATACGAGCTATGTCCGTTCAAAGATTTCTCCATTCTTCATTTCTATAATAAATTAGTGAAAATCTTCTTCTTTCTAAATAGTCAGAAAAATCAATTCAATCTTTTTAAAACCACGTTTAACTCAGAGGATCATCACTGAGAAAAATAGGCGGAATTGTTTTGCCATTTGATGTAGACTCACATATCAACCTATCTGACTCTAGTATTCAAATAATGACAATCAGAATTATTTGTAGTTTGTGTTGGTGTCGAAACACGTTTCGACACCAACACAAACTACAGGCTAAACTGCTGGTTTCAAAAAATTTGTTAGTTTGGGGTATTTTGTGATTTTCTCTCTGGCTGCAGCTTTTTTCTTCTCTTAGTGGCACCACTTTTCACTTTTTTCATACCAATATTTATATCATGAAAAACTAACGAAAGATAATTTATAAGTTTTGCAAACCTTCTTTCATTGTTTGTTTTTTATGATATAAAAACTAACAACGCATAATAATAATAAAAAAATCAACTCGAAATTGCAAAATAAAAATAATAGATTTATAAAGCTTGCGTTTTATAATATAATTCAGACTTCGGGAGTGTTAATTCTTTTTTTTTTTTGTATTAAAAATGTTACTGCTTTTTTTACGCTTGCATAATTTAGGTAATATCGCGATTAAAAGGCCAAGTTTTTTTAATAATAGTAACAGTAACTATATATAATTAATTTTTTTTATATAAAAAAAAATCAAAAAATTTTTTGAAAAGGGCTCCTAAAAATGCTGTCCCCCCCCCCCCATTGGGGGGGTATGGGGGAGCCTAGCCACGGCTTTGTGTAACGCAATCACATCGCTATATCGTTCTGGTACTGCAAATATATCTTATCAGGGAGTTACTTCAGATCAATTCAGTTTGTCACAAGGGGTGCGACAAGGGTCTATTTTATCGCCATATTTATATAGCATCTATACCGAAAACATCTTAAATGAAATAGTCTCAGAATGTAAAGTAGGGTCGACGATAAATGGAATCTATACTGGTATCATTGCATACACATATGATGTAATTTTGCTAAGTCTAACAATCTCTGGTCTGCAAGAATTGATTGACAGATTTCAAACATATATGGAATATTAAACTTTATCAAGCTAAACACTGAGAAAACGGAATTTCTGATCTCTGGTAAAAGTTCAATTTCCAACAACATTATTCAAATTAACGGAACTTATATACATCTCTAAAATAAATTAAAACATATGGGTTTCCAATGAGATAACGATACCAACAAAAACAAAATCGCAACACTTCAAAAACAAACCTAAATGAACGTATGACGCAGTTTCAATCGGTTGCAATAGCTCTAATTGACAGTAGAATTCGTTTTTGTCAGCCGTCAACAATAGTCCATTTATACAATACCTTGACAGTGCCAAAGCTTATATATATGGCCTTGAGCTATGCAATTATGACATTAGTTTTCTAAGAAACATAGACGCTGTTGGAAGACCAGTTTTAAAATCATTTTTTTGTATTTCAAAGTATAGCAAAAATTACCTACATTCTTTTTTTAAAATAGAAGATATTTTAACTACTCTTCTTCGAAATAAAGTAAACCTATTAATTGGGCTAATGAAAAATCAAACTTGCTATTCGCTGATAATTAGTCAATTACTGGCAACACAAAATAAAAAATCATTTATAAACGAAGTGATTGCTATATGTAAAACTCGTGGCTTGAACTTCTTTCAATGCATGATAGAAGGTAAAAAAATTAAATTCACAATACCTCAAGAAGAACTGCAAGCTGATACTATACCAATATTAAAAGAAGCGTTCCAATTATGGAACTTAAAAGAACAAAGAGAAAAATTTAAAACAATGATGGAGGAGAGTCTAGTCGGTCTAGTAATTGGCATTAAAGACAAATATTTGGAGAGTCAAGACTGGCCTTAATTTAATTTGTAACTGTTTTAAGGTGGTAGACCACTATTAAAAATCAAAAAAATTATTTTTTCAATTAAAATTATTTAAAATAATATAGCTATCGTAAATTACGAATTTCAAGTTAGTTTTATGAAAAAAAAATAGCTAACACCATTAAAAACTATTTTTTAATAAAGCGGTATAAGTAAATTTTTTTATTTTTTCATAGCAACGCTTTGTTTATTCCGTTGCTATACAACTAAAAAGGAAATTTTATCATAATTATAGTAAAAATTTTTAATATAAAATACCAGAAAAAATCAATTCAAGACACGGAAGTGAACGGACGTGTTTTTCCTGCGTAAAAAAAAAAAAAAAAACTTTTTTATTATTATTTTTTTAAGTTAACTTGTGATTTCTTTTATCATCGTAATTATTTTGAATATCAAAATGAATAAAATTAAAGATTCCGATATCTCAATACAGCTTGCAAAGGAAATTTTTCAGGAGATGTTTCAGAAACAACAAAAGGACATTTTGAAATTGATAAGTGGAAACTTAAAAATTACTAATGAACGAATCGACGGATTACAAAAAGACATTACTTTGATTAAAGCCACTTGCGAATCATTAAAAAAAGAAAACGAAAAGAGAAAAGTCAACCAAGCAAAGTCAAACAATCAGTTACTGAATTACGAAAAAGTTTTAAAGGACATTGAGGAAAGTCTATCGTTCCATCAAGATAATCACGATAAAAAGGTTAGTGACTTAGAGAAAAAAATTTGTTCAAAATCTAGTTTAGCAAGCAAAGACAAAGAAAAAATTCGACAGCTGGAAGATCGGCAAAGAAGAAATAACTTAAGATTTGAAAGAATTGCTGAAAACGAGTCGGAAAGTTGGGATGATTCGGAAATTAAAATAATGAATATACTTGTAAATAATTTAAATGTAAATGGAGTAAAAATAGAAAGAGCACATCGGACAGGAAAGCGTAATACAGAAAAGCCAAGAACTATCGTGATCAAGTTACTTGATTATAAAGAGAAAGTAAAAAATTCTGAAAAATGCAAACAAACTTAAAGGTTCGGGAATATTTATAAACGAAGATTATTCGGTAGAAACAGCAATAATACGAAAAAAATTATTCGAAGAAAGAAAAATACACAGGAACAACGGTAAGTATTGTACTGTTATTTACGATAAATTAATTGTAAAGGATTTTAAGAAATCAATTTGAATAATCATTTTTTTTTTTTTTTTAATTAAAACTACTCTTATTTAAAATGGCTGACGAAACTGACAGATCCGATTTTGAGTTTAAAACATTTGAAATTAATAGTTCAAAACTTTTACATCAAAGTTCGGATCCTGATTTTAATTTTTATAATAATAATAAAGTAATTAAACATGTTAATCCATTATATTATAACTCAAACTCAAAAAATATAACGGAAGGAATGGATGATAACTCATTTTCAATTCTCCATATTAATATTAGGAGTATTCAAAAAAACTTTGAATCATTAAAACAGTTTTTATATAAAATCAAAATTAGTTTTAACATTATTTGCCTTAGCGAAACTTGGTGTCATGATAAAAATATTGAAAACGATTCAAATTTCCAAATACCTAATTACAATGTGGTTCACCAAGTTAGAGGTTGGGGCAAGGAAGGTGGGGGTTTATGCATATTTATTATTAATTCATTGTCATACAAATTAATGCAAAACTTAAGTTCAACCACTAATGACTATGAATCGTTATGCGTAGAAATCATTAGCGAAACCTCAAGAAATATAATTGTGCATGCGTTATATAGACCGCCTACAGGAAAAATTAATGCGTTCAAAAATCACATTAAAAGTATAATTAAAAATAAATCAAGTTGTAATAAAAGTGTGTATTTTATTGGTGACATTAACATCAACATTTTTGACTATGACGTTAATAAGCACATTAATAATTTCTTTAATGTCTTTTTTCAATCTGGTTACATTCCATTAATAAATAAACCCACGCGTGTAACTAAGTATAGTGCAACGTCAATAGATCAAATTGTTACAAATAAATAAATCACAACAAAAATAAAAACTGGAATATTTAAAACGGATATTTCGGACCATTTTCCAATTTTTATTATATCAAATAAATGCGATAAGTCTTATTCTCAAAAAAGGAAAGTAACAAAACGACTAATTAACGATACCTCCATTAAATCTTTTCATGATGTTATATCATTCGAAAAATGGGACGAAACTCTAATAAATTTAAATGCTGATGAGGTCTATGATATCTTCTTAAATAAGTTTCTTCAATATTATAACAAAGCATTTCCCATAGTTACAAAATTATTAAAAGAAAAAACCCTTATGAGACCTTGGATAACAAAGGGAATTATTAAATCCTCAAAAATAAAACAGAGATTATATTGTAAATATCTTTAAAAAAAAAACACTACAAAATGAAACTAACTATAAAAATTATAAACGTTTATTTGAGTCAACTTTGAGACGTTCAAAAGCTAATTACTATTCAGATCAAATAATAAAAATGGTTCGCAAAACACATGGCGCATTATTAGGGAAGTTATTGGCAAAAAAGATTTAGATAGAAATGCTTTGCCAAAAAATCTCAAATTAAATAATAAATTAGTTTTTAATAAATCAATGGTGGCTGAAACGCTAAATAACTTTTTTGTTAATGTTGGTAAAAGTTTAGCTGAAAAAATTGAACCATCTCAAATAAGTTTTAAATCATACTTGACATCAACTAATGCTGTTATGCCAAATCATGAACTTAAAGAGGAAGAATTATTAAATTCAGTTTCTTTGTTAAAAATTAACAAAAGTTCCGGTTTAGATGATATCAGCAGTATGGTCATTATTAAGTCACTAAAATATATAACAATAACACTTTTACATATTTTTAATTTATCTTTAAAACATGGAATTTTTCCTGAAAAACTAAAGGATGCAAAAGTTAAACCAATTTTTAAAACAGGTGATCCTTCTGATGTTTCCAACTACAGACCGATCTCTGTTCTTAATTGTTTTTCAAAGATTTTGGAGCGTATAATGTATAATAGACTTTATTCTTTCTTAAATGTAAATAATATTCTTTACAATAAACAATTCGGGTTTAAATTCGGTCATTCGACCGATCACGCAATAATTAATCTTGTGCATGAAATTTTTAAAGCGTTTGATGAAAAAAAATTTACTTTAGGTGTCTTTATTGATCTGAGCAAAGCGTTTGATACCGTAGATCATAATATTCTTCTTTATAAACTTAAAAATTATGGTATCATAAATTCTAATTTAGGCTGGTTTAAGAGTTATTTAAAGAATAGGAAACAATGCATTTTATATGATGACGAGAAAACAGACTTGATGACAATTACCTGCGGAGTCCCTCAAGGATCAATTCTAGGACCGCTTTTATTTCTCATTTATATAAATGATTTGAGTAAATTTTCCAATATCTTAAATTCAATTTTATTTGCTGACGATACTAACGTATTTTATTCAAATAAAGATATTAATTTTTTATTTACAACAGTGAACGAGGAGCTTGTGAAACTAAGCGAATGGTTTATATCAAATAAGTTGTCCATAAATATTAAAAAAACAAAATATACTTTCTTCCATCGTCTTCATGATAAAGACAACATACTCTTACAACTTCCTAAGCTTTTTATTAATAACTCTTATGTCAAAAGAGAGAGTTCTTTGTTGTTTCTAGGCGTTGTTTTAGATGAAAACGTAACATGGAAGGAGCACATACGAATAATCCAAAATAAAATTTCGAAAAATATAGGCCTTTTATACAAAGCAAAACAGTTGTTGAATCAAACTTGTTTGAAACTTATTTACTTTTCTTTTATTCATTGCTATCTAAGTTACGCTAACGTTGCTTGGTGCAGCACTAATGTATCTAAAAATAAAGGGCTTCTAATTAAACAAAAACACGCTCTAAGAATTATTGGAAATGTGAATCGCTTTTCGCACACTAAATTACTTTTTAATAAATTCAAAATACTTAACGTATTTCAACTTAACCTATATCATATTTTTATATTTATGTTCAAAGTAGATAATAAAATGGCACCCATTTTATTTAATTCATTTTTCGAAAAAATAAATCATTTATACCCAACAAGATTTTCAAACAACAATTATATTCAACCAAAAAAATATTATTCTGCGACTAGGTTCTCGATAGCAATCAGAGGACCTAAATTATGGAACACCCTATTGGATAATGAGTTTAAAACAATTTCTTCCCTTGATCAATTTAAAAAAAAAATAAAAAGTAAACTCTTGATAATTGACAATGAACTTGACTTCTTTTGAAACTTTTGAATAGGAGTAATCACTTGTTTTTTACTTGATATTTAATTTATTTTTAACATATTAATTTTTGATTTTAATTTGAATCTTTACCTTCTTAAATTATCATGTTTTATCTCATTTTTATTTACTATTAATATTTGAAATCCTAATAAAAAAAAAAACTAAAAAAAAATATTAAATTTTAATGAAAAATATTTAGATATTTGTATTTATATATGTACCTTAATGAGTGATACAGAAAACAACAAGGTGATAGGATAATTCCATTACTAATATTATTTAATCACTTTGATTAAATAATATTAGTAATGGAAAGTCATTGAAAAAAAAAAGAAAAAAGAAGTAAAACAAGGCATAGTAAAATACTTATTTAACTTTTTAAAGAAAACCATAATCAATCAACAAATAAATGCAGCTGAAGAAATTGTATCTAATTTGCATGAACTAAAATTTGAATGTAGCATAGCATAAAAAAAAATAGACATGTAAATAATCTGTAAAACTTTTAAATAATAGTTTTGTAAATAAAAATAATAGTTCTGCTAATTACGATCAGTTCAATGTTACAAATGACTGCTACATATTAATGAACACCAACATATGAGATGGAATAATGGCTGCCATTGTTTGCTATCAAAAACTTCCTGAAATGTAACTTTTAAATTATAAATTTTTATGGTGCTCAAAACAATATGGCTTATAAAACTGTCTCCTAATTTTATTTAGAAGTTTTATTCTACTAAAATTATAAGCAAACCAGCAGCAATGAGTTTTTAATGTTTACTTATGTACAATATTAGTTTTTTGTAAAATGGGAAAAGAATACTGTAGTATTGAAAAGTTTTGTGGTTTTATGAACATGTTTGATCCCATAAAGAAATTTTTTAGCTAGTTAAACAAAGAAATTATAACAGTTACATAGCTGAAGCTAGCATGAATGCCGCAGCGAAGAAGCTCTGAAAATAAGTTTATATTCTGAAAATAAAATTATAATAAGAACACAGTAGTTAATGAGGATATTTCTTATGGTGCATCATAGTTTTAGTTTATATTTATATATTTTGATTATTTTTATATATTTGGTTTATATATACACTAGATATTTATTTACTATAATAACTAATGGCATAAAACTGATGGGAGTTTTTATTTGAAACTAAATTGCAAATCAAAAGTGAGACTTTTTTAATAAAATCTAACTTTGAAAGTATTAATGCCTGTTAATAAAGCCTGTCTTTTAAAAAAAAACTATAATTTTCTCTACTTTTACTCCACAACACTTTTAATATAAGTTGATATTTGTCAATAGGCTTTTTAAGTGGCTTTTCAATATTTGTTTGAAAAATTTTATGCTTTTTTTTGTTTAAATGTTTTTCTCAGATCTCTAAAATTCACGACTTTGCGGTGAATATCTCAAGATTTTCTTAATCTTAATTAATTTCCATGAAATTTTCAGAAGTTGTTCCTTTTGTTAATATGGATGTCCCCTACCACATTCATGACAATACGATAATCCCATTCAAAGATATTAAAGCTCAAATATGGCCAAAAATGACTTATTTTTTGATCGTCAAGTGTTTTTCTTATTAAAAAAAAACTGTTCTGTAAATTTCCTTGATTTTGGTACAGGATCTTCTTTATTGTATTAAAAGTAAATTTAGAAAATTTCAAGTTAATACTTCAATAGTTTTTGAGATAATCACCGCAACGAAATGAAGATATTTTGGTGTTTCTGGGACCAAATTTCTGAAATCAAAAAAATTTTTGACTTTTTTTTTTTGCAAGAGTAAATTTTAGTCAACTTAGATGTAAATAATATCTAAAATGCAATTTTTGAAGGATTTGATTTAATTAGTGGTCTACCACCTTAATATAAATTAATTTACCTGTAATTTTGTTACTGGGTGTTTAATAGATAATAATAATAATAATTTAAGATTTAAGTATTACTAATTATCGTATATGGTAAGTATCAGAGATTATCTGGTCAAATTTAAATATTCCAGAAAATATTTTCTGGATATTTGAGTTTCTAAAACGCCGAAAAACCATCTTAGAGTAACAGAATAAAAAACGGAATGAGAGCAATAAATTACCGGTAGTCAACCCCCGCGTTATTAATGTTTAAATTATTGTTTTAAATTTAAAAAAATTCAAAACATGTAAAATTAAAAAATAAAATGCAGCAGTAAATTTTGTTCAAAAAGACAGAACCAAAAGCCAAATTTGGCTTTGGCTTTTGTCCTTGTAAACTTTGCATTTACAAATGCGCAATAAAAAATCCGGAGGATATTTAACTTTTCGTTGTCTTTTTTGACGGTTACCGAATTATACTATTACGCCATTTTTTTCGGCTTTTTAGGCGATCTCTAAAATATGATTATATAAAATTCTAATATCCGGAAAAAATTTTCGTAATATTGTCCGTAAAGTATTTTCAAGACATACGGAAAGATACGGAAATAAAAATGCTTTTAGTGTATTTAAGAATATATTTTATAAATATTTCAATCAATGAAGATTGATACGATAATTTTAAATCAAAACTTGTACTATAATTTTAATACATTTTGTTCAAAAAAGCATTGCTTTACTCAGTGTTTTTTGAGAAATTGCTCAAAAAGCTTTACGTGAATAAATTTTTTAGCAGTTTGCTCAATATTTTAATTCGATTATTTTAGTTGAGATATTTTTCTAATTTGTGTCGGCACTTGGAAATCCTTTAAAATAAATGTACGCGTACAAATAACAAAAAATTATTTGTACAAATGCCTCACTATAAAACGTAAGGATTTAAGGATGTCATTGGTTTTAAGCAGCAATAAAAATACATTAGTGCCAGAAGGAGGGTTCATTCTTTATTACATAATTTACATTTAGTCAAAAAGTCCAAATCCCATATCACCATCTGATTCTTCTTCGGATTCTTCCTTTTTCTTTTTCTCTTCCGCCTTAGCAGCAGGTGCAGCACCACCAGCTTTCTCAGGAGCAGCAGCGGCAACAGCAGACGGAGCAGCAGCTCCTCCTGATGGCATACTTGCCATCTTTTTAGATCCTTCAGCAATTAACTAAATAGATATTTTAAGAAATTACTTTATTTAATTACTTTGCACATTACTTTGTTTAATGATATAAATCATCCATGCATAAGAATGTGCATGCACACAATACACAGAAATATAAATGAGAAATACACCCAAGAATACGGGATAAAACTCACAAAATTTTTTTAAGGGTCCTACAAGCAACAAAAGTAAATACAGCAGGGTTTATTTCCTTTCTAAATTTTGTATACTAAAATTTATTGGCTACTCAAATATTAGATTTAATATATAGAATCTTGGTTCTAGTAATAGACCAAAAACATTTTTTATTAATTATTATAACCAAAAGTTTTTTTTTAAGAAAAATTTATATTTTTTCTATTTGAGCACCTTTAATATATATAAACTCACAGTATTTTCTTAAACAAGACTTTTTTTTATGTCATTAAATCAGAATCAGGACATTTTGAAAATTTATTCCCCATATATCCATAATTCATCTAGGTCATATTTAAAAAATTGTTTACATAAAATATCCGAGAATGTTTTCCCTTATGTTTCTATTATACTTTTAGCTAAGTTGTTTTCATTTCAACTTTTCATAATTTTTGTATGAGCGATAAGTAAAAAAACTTATAAAACAAATATATTACACAATATACACCTAAACTCGTATTTCTGAAAATTATTGTCTGGAAAGACAATCCCTATATATTCTAAATTATACTACTTATAGAGAATTATTGATTTAAAAAACTCATAATTTTATGTTTCCTATATTTGATTAAAATGCTAATTTGAAATACATCTGAAAGTATACTAATATTTCTGCGTATAGTTTTTGCTATCAAATTTAAACCCAACATTAGGTACCAGCTATGAAGTACTTAAAGGTTTATAAACTTAGATAAACACTTTTCTGAAGATTTTCTAATCTTAGAGCTAGATTTGCATATTTAAGTATAAATGCAACCAGAAACAGCAAACTTCAGAAATGCGTTACAAAATGTTTTTGCCTGCTTTTTACACCTTAAAATTTCGTAGGGCAACAGTTATAGATTACTTACATTTATAGTAGAAACATCTTTAAAGGTTAAAGACCAACAACAATCAATGTAAAATAGGAAGATCATTTATTTAAATATAAACATGTTGTTTACTTCCAAAAATGCATCGTGACAAAAAATTTCTAGTTAAATCTTAATAAATTTATTATTAAAATAGGAAAAACAGGATTAACACTCAATAAATATTGTTAAAATCATTTTTATTGATTTGGCTAGTGTAAGAAATATAAATTTTGCTAATATTTGAAGACCAAATTTGTCTTGTTAAAAATTTAAAAATTACTGAAATGCATTTGCACAACTTAGTTTTTAACAGTGGTTAAGTTGATTCAGTTAATCATCTAAAACCATCAGAGAAGTACTTGATTCACATGTCAATAAAACAATGATTTATTTTACCTATTTTTAAGTTGAAATTAACTAAGATATGCCACCCTCTAAACCTGTGTATCCAGTAAACCTCCGCCCCAATCAATAAATTTTCACAACTGCATATATACACACATATACAACCCTTGGAATTAGGGTCAGCATTAGGCAATGTTGACCTTAAAGTGTTTGAAGTCTGCAAAAAATTGCCAACCTCATTGCTACGTTTTATGGTAATACATTTTTATCAAATTTTTTGCAGAGCTCTAAATGATTGAGGTCAGCAAATTATTGCTGACCTCAAATTATTGCTATATATATATAAACATATCAGCAAATTATTGCTATATATATATAAACACACACGGTGTAGTTAAGGCACTTTTAAAATAATAGAGCATCTATATGATATTTTTTTGACTGCAACATTTTTCTGTTAAATGGTCTGGTCTATAAATTATGAAAAGACAAAAAAACTTAATAAATTTTGCAGCATAAAATATAAATGTTTGTAGCGAAAAAAATATAAATGATAAATATAAATGCATAATATATGAATGATAAATTTTATATACAAATGATAAAAAAGCATAAAATAGCATAATATATATATGATAAAAAAGCATAAAAAAGCATAATATATAAATGATAAAAAAGCATAAAATATAAATGATAAATTTTGCAGCATAAAATATAAATGTTTGTAGCGAAAAAAATCTAGACCAATAATTCTCTCTTTTTTTTTAAATCATCTTAAAATCACAATTGCTTGTCCAAATTTAAATAAGATTTTATATTAACAAGTTTTTTAAGTGAAATGAACATTATAGTTTAACAATATGATCTGTTCTGTTCATTTATTGGTAATTTTCCATAATTATAAGCTCTTTCTTGGTCAGAATTCCAGTATTTTTTGTAAAAATTGATAGAAATATTGTGTTTTGACAACTATATATAGTTAATATACGTCAGAACCGATTAGAACTAGGATCAGTAGTAAATTATGAATTTTCAAAAGATTTTAACTAAATTTATATTAATGCTGATGAGCAAAATTGATCTAAATACTCCAAAATAGTGTTCTTTAGATACATTATTACAGGTTGTAAAAAGATTTTAAAAATTATATATTAAAAATTAAAAAAAAAAATTCTTTAAATATTAAAAAACTTTGAGCAAAAAAAAAATTATAGCATCTTATTATAGATCATGTTTGGACATAATATGCTGACAAAATCATTCTAATTCCAAATAAAAGTATTCAAATATTTTGTAAATCGCCTTAACTACACTGAGCATATACACATTCACACAATAACGAATAATCATTACCAACTAATAAAGATAAAAAGACATATTATGGTATAAAGCAATTGTTTAAAATAAACAAAAATATAATAGCAATTGTAATATTATAAAATTTTATATTAATAAATACAGTAATAATATTATGTTGTAATAATATTACTGTTGGTATATTACCAATAATACTAACAAAAACGTAACTGTTAGTAGTAACCACCAATAATAAAATAATAGTCAACACCAAAACAATATAAGGTAATTGTATATAAGTGGCAATTGAGAGAGTGCTACAAACTACAAGTACCTATATTTATATATTGTCACTAACAAATACAAAGACACAAACATATATATATACATATACATTATGACACATACAATACACACACATGTATGTGTCATTTATACATTATAATATACATTGTTTAACGTATATTAACATGGTTATAGGGATAACTGACCTAAAATTTACAGATAATAATCATAAAATTGTGTATAATAATCAAAAAATATTAGTAAACAAGGCAAAGCTTTTATTGGTTTTTTCCTCAGCTTTCTACTAACATTTAATTTAGGCCAATAGAGACAAGGACATATAGGCATAAAATATTTTTAAGAAAACTTTGATTGACTTATAAACATAGATAAATTTTGTTTTAATTAAAAAATAGCATAAAGGATAATAACTTAACACTTTGTAAGCACAATTTTTAGTACATTGGCTGCTGCCTTTTATGTTACATACATAAAAAGTTTATAACTGATAGGATCTATAATATCTACGAAACTTACATCAGGAAGAGATTTTCCCTTTAACTGCTTCACAACAGTAGATGCTCGAGTTGCATCATATCCGACACCAACACTTTCTAAGATTTTTTTCAAATCATTTTCAGAAGGAGAAGCATTTCCACCAAGGGTAGCAAGAAGATAAGCGGCCACGTAACGCATACTAAGAACAAAAAATTATATTAGATGCAATTTACTTAATTAAATTTAATAAAAGATTTCTATAGTGTTTAGTATGTATGTAGGTATGTATGTATGTATGTATGTATGTATGTATGTATGTATATATATATATATATATATATATATTCTAAGAATAGAATAGTGTAAAAGATTTAAGCTTTAACATCAAGCAAAAAGTTCGAGTTCCTTTTTGAGTAACAATTTTTCAGCACAGCTAAACTAGTACACAAATAACATGTTTTATAATTTACTATTAATAAATTCGTCTTGAAAAAAAATTTGTTATTTATACGAATATGACAAAAGGAATTTCCAAAAGACTTTATCTCACACGACACTACTAGTACTACTTCTAGCAGTAATAGTGGCGGTATCACAACTTTTATTATAATATGAAATACATAAACGTTTTAAACCAATTAACAATTAGTAAATATGCAGCAAAATTAGTAGTATATACTAATAGACAATTTATTTATGTAAGACATTTTGTAAGGAGATCTTTACTGCAGCAAAAAAAGAATTTCTTAAAATATTGTTAACTTAAACAAATATAAAAAAATGCGACATATATCGGCAAAAAATCTTGCTGTTTTTCTTATATAACTTTGTAGTTTTTTGATTCATTTAGCTGAATAATAAATGAGCTATTAGCATTATGTTTTACATAAATTCTCTTACGCTATTAAGTCCTTTGGACACGAAATCGTGAGCACGCTAGTAGATTTGATTTAGGTAAACCAACAGTTCTGTTGGAAGGTTTGAAAAGATAGCGTGGATCTTGTAGAATCAAAATAACGGACCGTTCGTTCCAGACTTCTTCCTCCACCACGGATGTTATTGCCAATATTGTGTTAATTTTTTTTTTACAATACTATTTTTTTACATTTCTCTAGTTTTGAAGTCTTTTGCTTAAGTTGAAGAAACAGAATAACTTATCTAACCTAGTCAGTGAATAAAATTTAAATAAAAAGAGGAAACAAAATTCTATCATCATACTGCATCATATCATCATAGTATCATACTTTATTTCGACCGAATTAGCCAAAAATGTTTTAGTTCTTAATAATGTATGATACTATAAAATTGAACTGATTATCTATGATATACTATGTTTCGTGTTTCTTTTCAAAAGAAATAAACATAATACTTTTTAAAAAAGTTATTCTAAAATCTATCTATCAGTATATGGGAAGACGAGGCAAGATTAGCTGCCGAGGCGCAATGTTTATTTGACGGTTATTTCGAAAACCCTTGTTTCTAGCAAGACTACCAGTCTAACTAATACTTTATCAGTAGTTTTTTCATATCTTAAATAGTTATTACCCGTCAAGATAATTAGTTAACTACAATAAAAATAAAGTCGAAAAACAAAATAAATGTTTCTTAACTTTTTCCTATTGCCCCGATAGAGGGGCAAGATGACTAAAAATAGGTTTTCCGATCCACAGTCCATTAGATATTGTAAAATATTACTAAATGTAAACCAATTAACTTCAAAAAAAAATCCAAGTTGCTTGGGTATAAAATCTGTACCTTAATTGGAGTAGCTAAGCCCCTAGAACCCTAAACCTTTAATACTCCATAAATATACTAATAATTTGCTGCAGTCTAAAACTGAAGAGAATTGCGACATAATGTAAAACTATTTTTTGAGTTCACCAGCCTTACTGTTTAAATCTTAATATTCTCATAACATGGGAGTTAAGGGGGAAAACCCCTCAAAAACTTATTTTCTGAAGTAAAGCATTAATAAAGTTATTACATGTTTCAAATAAAAGTATACTAAATGTTAAGAAGATCTATCATAAAAAATGGCACTCTGTTGCCATGGCAACGCGGCTACTAAGGGAAAATGTCAAATTAGTCTCTTCACCCTGGCAAAGATTGCAGTCAATTAGAATGATACTTTGAGCTGATTTTTTTCTAACTTATAGTTAAAAGATAGATCTATGCAATAAGCAGACAGTTTTTGAAAATAACTTTTCTGTCAGGTAGTAGGCCTGTTTAATTTTGGCAAAAATTTCAAGCACAAAAATGATAGATGTTTTTTTTAATTTCTTTAGTTTAAAAAACATTTTTAAAAAGTTGTCTGCTCATTGCATACATCTTTATGAGAGTAATACTCCCTGAAAATTTCATTAAAATCGGTCAAGCGGTTCTCAAGATACTTCTGCCGGGAGATTAAAAACACGCGTTCTGAGAAAAATGCCAAATAAGTTGAAATTGTGATGAAAAATATTATATAATAACAAAGATACAAAAAATATAATATAAAAAGAGCATACTGATTGTATTTTTTAATCATGAACACCAGCTCCATGCAATTTTCCTTCTTTCTGTTCAACTTTGTCAAATTTTTTAAGCTTGCGGCTTCTTAAAATCTTCCTTTTTTTTTTGATGGTGTCTTGATTTTTATACTCTGACATCATAACTCTTTTCTGGTTCAGGTAATTGCATCCAGAAATGGTATGTTGCCCTGGTATCATATTAAGTCTTTCAAATATAAGTATACTAGACTTTAATCCTATATTAAAGGCACCAATAGCATCATAGAGTCCAAATTTCAATTGCGTAAGCGAAACATACTTTGACTTAGGTATTCTAGACCATATCATTGCATTAAAACTTTCATTTTGATTCTGTGTTCTTCCATGAAGCAAACGATTTAAATAAGCATCTGATGTTAGTTCTACATAAATGGGCTTTAGCTTGTGTACTATTTCAATAGGAAGAAAATGGTCCGGGTTTATACTCTTTGGTTCCATTAGCTTTATCTCGATTGTATTTACACCAACTATCTGTTCCTGTGGGACAATGCGGGTAATGCCAATTATTTTTTCTTGAAGATGCTACATGAAATAAGCTAGCCAAGGCTGAAGATCTCATACCTTCAAGGTTGCCACAATTTTGCCTAATGCAAATACCAAAATAATTTTGCAACCGATCAATTGTAGCGTTTGTTAAACCGCCTTTACCATTTAAACCCTTGACTTGCTTTTTTAATTGTCTACAACGAGATCCAATGCGCTTTTGAAAATGTCCAATACAATCTAGTTTAATTACTTCAATACCCTTGTATGTGTTTTTGACAGAAGTGTAGTTTTTGCTATCACCATCACCCAAGTATTCTGTGTATCGTAAATTAAATTTTTGCAAAGAGCGATTAAATATCTTTATTGCCCCAACTGTTTCCATTCCACCGGCTGATCCTTCATAGTTTTTATTGCTAATATGTGATTTTTTTGCTGTTAGCTGCTGCTTTGAATTACCAACATCTTGATTTTTGTCACATATTTTACACTTTCTAGATAATGTTTTGACATCTAAAACCTTCCCATTTTTAATTGATAATGCTGCCGTCACCCCATTGTGTGAATTAAATCCTCTTTTTTGCCATGTTCCATCAACAGAAACTCCAATATCTAAGATCTCATTAAGAGATTTGCCTTCTCTGAGTTCTTGTACAGCTTCATTCATAGTTTCAACAGCAACAGTTTGTGCTGCAGTTGGCAATTTTTGAACAATAACATTATAGCTTTTATTGCATAATCCTTTTGGGATATTCATAAGAGTGGCAAACCGATGTAGACCAGCTTGGCCTTGACCAAGTGTTCTCATGGCATATACTAATCTTTTGTTAATATCAAACCCTGCTACATTTTTTGATGTGTCAAAGTCTAACTTGAAACCACAAACACAATTTAATGATAAATTTGATGCATATCCTTTGCAAGACTTTTTATTTTCGCTTAACGACAACTTTGATGGTCGCAAACATTCTGGACACCCAAGTTTATCAAAAATGGAAGCAAGAATTTCTAAATCAATAAACCTGTAGCCACTGACACATTTTGAGTTTCCACTTGGAACCATTAGTTGCTTTACTTTTTTTTTTTGATGCACTTTTAAATACACTTTCACGTTCAATATTTACAGAGTCTACCATATTTTCATTATTACTATTTACATTATTTACACCAATATTTACACATTTTTCTTGCTTTCTTAAACCAGAAAATGTACATTTACGTTTTCGAAGACGTTTTGTAGAAAATTTTACTCTATCACTTTTATATTCAGTTTTAGACTTGTCCATTTTTTTTAATTATATAGAAAGCTTGAGTTGATTGTGTAGAAGCTTGAAAAGATGACTAATTTTAGCACTATCAGTCAAATATGTGGTTTTAAAGTATGGCTTTAGAGATAATGGGAAGCATTTCAAACTAAACTGCAAAAAAAAACCCGGATAAAAAGCTATACTAGATGTGTTTTATTCACAGTTTTTCTGTAACTAGGGGCGTTGCTAGGTAATTTTGAACTCAGGTGGTTGTACAAAAGTGTCATTTATTGATATAAAAAATAGCGATTTTCGAATAAGGTTTTTACCATTTGATTTCTTAATAAATTTACTTTTAAAATATCTGGAAAAAAAAAATTGAAAAAAAAAATTTTTTCTGAGAGGTTTTCCCCCTTAAATGTAAACTGCCAACAAACTTAAAAACCAAAATATAGTGCGTAATTAAAACACGCTTGATATCAGCAATAACAAAAAATAAACAAATTACATATTTTTTATACATATCAACAGAAAACATATGTCTTTTAAAATATTTTATTATCTTTTGTTTTTTGTATAAGTTTGAAGATTTTCAGCTATAACACATAAATTGCCGAAGACTGTACCACAGTTTTCATGAGCCCAGTTATAGCATTGTTCACAGCTTAGCCAGTTGTCTTCAAAAATGGATCCATTTCATCTCCAAAAAAAAATTTAAAAAATTATTAAATTAGAATAATTAACTAGCCGGTATGTTTCAGTTATCTGAGAACCTGATTGATTGATTTTTGAGTATTCAACTTGCACAGTTGAATAAAGTGGGCAATCATTGGTTAAAGAAAGAGCAAGCGCTGCTGCAGCAAATATATTTTGATTGAAAGGCAAAGTTCTATTTTCTAAAAAACGCATCGTAACTACTCTCACTTTATCAGGTGTACCAAAAGCTTTCTTAACTTGTTTGCTAATTTAAACCTGTAATTTCTTTGACTGGATGGCTTATCATTCCAACATCACTTTATTTGATTATTTATTAATTTTTTCTTCTTCAGGTAAAAAAAAATATAGAAAAAATATATTTATAATTATTACATATCAGATCGATAAAAATACATTAATATAATATAGATACTTAATACAATATTGATACAAACTTTAAAATAATTTCGGTATAATTACTATTACATATATTTATTTTTCCAAACTATAATACCTAAAAAAAGAAAGTCAAATAAGATTCGCATTTTCGGGTATAAAACTCCAAAAAAAAACTTTTGGCAGATTTCGCCTAAACAGCGCTTTTACTTAGTAATTGGTCAGGTTTACGTGAATAAAAACTTTTCAGTTTTTCTCAAAATTTTATTTACGTAAAATTAAGCAATTTACTCAGTAATTGCTCTGGTCTACGTGAATAAAAACTTAATCAAAATTGATGAAGTTTTATTTACTCAAAATTGATGTAAAAGCAATTGCTAATTTTTATTCAGCCGGCCTCATGTCTATGTAAAAAGTTAATTTAAATAAATTTTGTAATAAATTTTGTAATTAGTTTTGTAACTACTTTTTCTATTGTTATTAATATTATTTTTTTTATTAACATCTTTTTTTCTTCCTTTTTTATCTTTTTTTTATCTTTTTTTTTTCTTTTTAATTTATTGCTATTATTTTTACAAAGCAAGAAAAAAAAAGCTTTGCTTTCCTTTTAAACCTCGATATTCCATATAAGTCTTTTAATTTTTGATTTTTCAAGTTTTTCCATGTTTTTGCCTTGTGACAATTGAA